CTAGAACACAACATTAAACACATTATATTCCCTTGTTGATCCTAGAACACAACATTAAACACATTATATTCCCTTGTTGATCCTAGAACACAACATTAAACACATTATATTCCCTTGTTGATCCTAGAACACAACATTAAACACATTATATTCCCTTGTTGATCCTAGAACACAACATTAAACACATTATATTCCCTTGTTGATCCTAGAACACAACATTAAACACATTATATTCCCTTGTTGATCCTAGAACACAACATTAAACACATTATATTCCCTTGTTGATCCTAGAACACAACATTAAACACATTATATTCCCTTGTTTATCCTAGAACACAACATTAAACACATAATATTCCCTTGTTGATCCTAGAACACAACATTATATACAATAAGTTTAAAAGTGACAAATTTTTCTGGAATTTTGAAACTAAGAAATATTAAAAATCTGTGAAAATTCAATTGAAACAAGGAGGGAGAGTATAGGAATGAATAGGATTGTAAAATCAAGTTAAACAGTAAACATTAAAATGAAAACAGGCATGATAAGAGAATACAAAATGTGGAGTAGGTCAACTGAAAGTGTGTTTGGTATGTATAAAGATAAGAAATATTTCATACTGCGTTAAAAAATTATTCTTAAAAATGTAGACTTTCGAAATTAAAATTTTTCTCGTTTAATTATTGAAAAAAAAGCGAGATCAACGGGTTTATTTGATGCTAGGAAGTTAGGACTTTACTCGGCTGCGCATCCCACATCAATTTTAAACCAGTAGTCAAACCAGCACTTCTTAGATACAGATTACAGATGTACAATTGCAAAAAACTTAAATATCCCTTAAACTAACATTTTATACCCACAATAACTAATCCTTAAATACACTAGTAACTAATCCTTAAATACACTAGTAACTAATCCTTAAATACACTAGTAACTAATCCTTTAATAACCCAGTAATTAACATTGTAACTAACACTTTAATGCCCTTGTAACTAACCATTTAACACATTGTAACTAACCCTCAAATACCCCTGTAACTAACCCATTAATAACCCAGTAAATAACACTTCATTACCATTAAATAACCCTTTAATACTCTATATCTAACCCTTTAATAACCCTGTAACTAACCCTTTAACACCCCTGTGACTAACCCTTTAACACCCCTGTGACTAACCCTTTAACACCCCTGTGACTAACCCTTTAAAGATGTACAATTGCAAAAAACTTAAATATCCCTTAAACTAACTTTTTATACCCACAATAACTAACTCTTAAATACACTAGTAACTAACCCTTTAATACCCTGTAGCTGAGCCTTAAATACACTAATAACTAACCCCGTTAATACCCCTGTAACTAACCCTTTACCACCCCTGTGACTAACCGTATGGCAGGTTTAACAGCTTCCTCCGGTTCAGTATCAACTATGGATAAAGGGTTGGGTTCGTCTAAATCTCCGTTTGAAGATAAATCTCCATGATCATCAACTTCTTCTTTCATTCTTCCTGGAACAATTATAATGTGTAAGATACAAACGCAATTTGGAGAATTTTAAGGAAAAAGGGGAAGAATTGCTTATATTCATGATAATTCTGTTAGCTAAAATTTCTCCCCAACCCTTACAATTCTGAAACGCTCAAAAAATCTTTGTCTGATAAACAGTATTATACATCTACTTGCATAGTCTTTCAGGCAAATACAGGGGCGTACGAGAGCATTTGTGTAGGGGTGGGGCACCTTTAAAAATATTGATACCTTTTTAACTATGTAAACTATTCGATCACATAACAAGTGTTAATAAATTATTTATCTAGTTTTCTTAAGTAATTGAAATGAAAAAATAGCAAAATTAAAATTTTAATAGACAAAATTGTCAATGGCTTTATATTTACCTTCTAATATCTCTAACTGCAATTTCATAACAGACTCAGGCTCGATTTGGTCTACGTCCTAGAATATGAAAATAATTATTTTTCACTAAAAAGTTCCATTGAACATGGACTGTAGAAAAGTCAGAGGACTATGCAAAGACTATAACGTAGACTTTTCTTTTAATCATATGATTTTAATGTAGTTGTATGAAGTATATCTCCCTCATTTTTCTTGATACTTGATCAAATTTCAAAAGGGATAATTTTAAGTAAATATAGGTTGACTTGAAATTATGTTGACAATTCCTAGTTTACAAATCTGAAATTCACCTCGTCCTCCCTGGAGTAATAAAGTTCTTCTATATCATCTCCTGTAAACTCCTGACCTTCAACCAATCCTTCCCCGTCTCCTTGACACTCCTCCTCCCCCTGGAGTCCGTCAATGGAGGTCTCGGCTCCGAAACTACTCTCGTGAGAGAAGGTTCCTAAAACAAAATATTTTAAACTTTTATATTTCAAAAATTAGCTGTACTGAGGCCGAATTTAAAGAATTTGAGCCGAGGTTTAAATCCGCCAAAACCCGATTTAAATTAAGCGCCGGCTTAAATCTTGAAACATTTGATACATTTTTAAGTCGAACCAACCATGTTAAGCCGCGGCTCAAATTCTTTAAATCCTTCCCCTGTATTACTAAAGTTTAACCCAAAACTTCTAAGATATTGGAAGAATTTTTAAAATGTCGTTTGCTGCAGATAGTTATTTTTTAATCCAATAATTATATCAAGCTCGTTAAAACTGTACTCACATCATAACATGACTTAAAAACTTAAAAACAAAGCAGAGTAATNTGGGGCTCACTGTCTTTGTTTGTCTGTCTGTTTGTTTGTATCCAATAAACGTTAAAATCGGACCCAAATTTGTTGTAGGACCTCACATGACCCCAGGGAAGGTTTAAGGTTGATCGAATTTTCAGAACTTTACCTATTACAAAATTCGAATTTTGAAAATTTCGAAAATTTGCGAATTTTTTTTTATAAAATCGAGACATTTTTTTTTTTTTTTTTTACAATGTATGTAAAGAGAACATGTTCACAATTGAAAAAGAAGATGGGCGCGAAGCGCCCTAAAAGCCTTCTTTTGTAAATTTTAGCTTTTCTACCTTCTTCTGTGCTATGTGGATTCTGAAGAGTAGAGGATCTAACAGGAAATTATCATTTTACTCATAGAGCAGTTAAGGGTAAACTATTATTTTAATCAATTTACAGACCAACCAAATAGAAATGATTGTTGAAAGAAAGTGTGATGGACTTTGAAAGGGCACAATGTATTACTACGAGTACATCAGAAAGTCATAAATTGTACATGAGGAACCCATAAAGTACTCGAGGAAACTATGGATTGCATGAAGAAAATACTTGAGGAAACCATAGAGATCAAGAGGAACCAAGTACTCGAGGAAAACATGAAGTACTCGAGGAAAACATAAAGTACTCGAGGAAACCATAAATTACTCGAGGAAACCATAAAGTACTCGAGGAAACCATAAAGTACTCGAGGAAACCATAAAGTACTCGAGGAAACCATAAAGTTCTCGAGGAAACCATAAAGTACTCGAGGAAACCATAAACTACTCGAGGAAACCATAAAGTACTCGAAGAAACTATGGATTGCACGAGGAAACCATGAAGTACTCGAGGAAACCATAGAGTCCACTAGGAAACCCTAGAGTACAAGAGAAAACCATTTAGTACATGAGGAAACCATTTAGTACATGAGGAAACCATTGAGTACACTATGAAACTTAAAATTACGAAAGAAACCCCATTGAGTACATTAAGATACCATAGATTACAGGTGGAAACTATAAAGTACACGATGAAATCAGTGAGTACATTAAGAAACCATTGAGTACATTAGAAAACAACAGAGTATACAAGTAAACCATGGGGTACAAAAGGAAACCATAGGGAACACGAGGAAACCGCAGAATACATGAGGAGACCCCAGGGTACACGAGGAAACCATAAAGTAAGCGAGGAAACCATTACATTAGAAGAAAAAAACAGAGTATACAAGGAAACCAGGGTACATAAAGAAACCATAGTGTGTATGGAAACCATTGAGTACACGAGTAAAACATGGAGTACATGTGGAAACCAAAGGGTACATGAGAAAACCATAAAGTAAGCGAAGAAACCATGGAGCATATTAGGAATACATTAAGTACATAAGGAAACCATTGAATACATTAGAAACCATTGATGACATTAGAAAACAACAGAGTACTTTAAGAAACTATAGAATACATGATAAAAAATAAAATGTAAATGAGAAAACCAAGAGTACAGGAGGAAAGCACAGGGTACATGAGGACTTTATCAGGAAACCATTCAGTACACAGAAAACGATGAAACTAATAAAATTTGTAAAATAATTTCCTTGGAGAAAAACAGTTCAAGAGAAGGCCAGCAGGTGCTGCTATCTTACCCCTTTGTATACCCTGAATACAGATATTATCTTCTTTATCTTCTATATAATAAAGATCTTTGCTAATATATATATGTTAGCTATGGCAGGCCAAACGCCAGCACCGAAATGGCTGAAATTTTTTGAGGGAACCCATGGTTACCCTGAGGGTAAACCCTGAGGGTAACAAAAGTTAACAGAAAAAATCCAAAATCGATTTTTTTAAAATCAAATTAAAAAATTTGTTTATTATTATTATTATTATTATTATTATTATTATTATTATTATTATTATTATTATTATTATTATTATTTTAATTATAATTTTAATAATTATCATTAAATATCACTATTATCTTACCTCTAAATAGCGCTTTTTAATTCCTCTAACTGTTGATTCGTTAACTGTGTACCCAAGTTTGAGGCTGTAAACTCTAATATAAAAAATGTCGATTATTATATTTTGTGAAGATTAAGATAACAATTAGATTACATACCGAAATTTGATATGTATGGGACTGTTAACAGTATGTATGCAAAGCTAACTGTGTAAGTTCCATAAATGGTTCACCAATGCATTGTTTACTGATTAAATACACCCCTGGCTTTCTAGATTCTTTTTTAAGGGCCTATATCTATCTATATAATAAAGATTATCGCTCATATCTGTGTATGTAAGGGTGTATGTATATATGGGTATATATATATATATATGTGTTAGCTTATAGCAGGCCAAACTGCAGGACCGAATTGACTGACATTTTTTAGGAAACCCATCAGTACCCAGGATAAGGCGAAAAAAAATCTTTAAACTTAGATTTTTTTCAAAATTAGAATTTTTTAAGATGTTTCTAAAATCACCCAGGCACTCTTCTAGTAGAATATACAGACGCAATTTCTAGAAGCCCTTAAGTTAAATATCTAATTCATACCAGTAACCTTTAAACATCTAACAATGAGAAAAATATCGCATTTTGTGTTGAATTATGTAAATTTCCCTAATTGTTTCTGCAGCAGAAATCGGCTAGTTATCTTTTTTAAGAGAAACCACAATAGTCATAGTCAATATCCGACTAGACGATTAGGAGAGTTAGTTTTTCATTTTCCAGAAAGAATCTGAAATTGTATTCGTTGTAATTAATGGAATAATGTCTTTTCCACAAATTAGAACTTTCTAATTTAACATAAATTTTTTATCTTTCTGAATTTTTAACTAATCATTTCAAGCGATCCTTCATTGATAGATTCACGACTTGTTCTGAAAAAAAACAGAACTAGATACCTATTTTTGTTTTTTCAAAAACTATTTTTTTAGTTGTGGTTTCTATACAAGTCCATTGCGCATTTCTGCTTATGAACAATTGATAATTTATTAATGATATTATTAATTATATCTTTTATAAATGAAAAATTATTCCATGTATAAATATAAATATAATTTGCAACCTCTCTGTATAAATAAAATATACCTTGCCACCTCCCTGTAAAAATGAAAATATACCTTGCAACCTCCCTGTATATATAAAAATATACCTTGCAACCTCCCTGAATAAATGAAAATATACCTTGCAACCTTCCTGTATATATAAAAATATACCTTGCAACCTCCCTGTATAGATAAAATATACCTTGCAACCTCCCTGTATATATAAAAATATACCTTGCAACCTCCCTGAATAAATGAAAATATACCTTGCAACCTCCCTGTATATATAAAAATATACCTTGCAACCTCCCTGAATAAATGAAAATATACCTTGCAACCTCCCTGAATAAAGGAAAATATACCTTGCAACCTCCCTGTAGAAATAAAATATACCTTGCAACCTCCCTGTTATTACCGATTTCTATGGCAAGAAGAGCAATCTCCTGTCTAAATAATAAACGTCAGCTAAAATTGTATTTTTGTTTGTAAAAGATGAAAAGTATTTTAGATAAGCAAAATGTTGAGCTTAACAGCATTTTAAAGGGACTGTAGACGGAACTTTAAGTGGCCTTTAACTTTGAAAAAAATGGTTGCCCAATTCACAAAGTAACCATTTAACCCCTCATCTGAAGCATAAATCCATAAGTCACATCAAAAGTAAAAATATTAGAGTACCCTGTTTGAATCGGACATGCCAGTTCTTTTGAATGAAGGTCAAATGAAAATATGTCTACAGTCCCACTTTAACTTGAGGCTTAATGGAAATTTCAGATTATCAAGTGAAACATTTTTCTATAACGAAGATAGCAATAAAACAACACATCCTTAAACTGCCTTGCAAATACATGTAAAACAAACGATCATGAAATCATAAATTTACTTGAACATAAACAAACAAAAAAACATTTTAATAATGAGTGAAAACTAAAAAGAACAAAATTATTTAGTGCAAACCTTAATTCTGGCGGATATTCTCTTTGCTGTCTTCTAGCTAGTACTAAACCAGACTCATAGCTCATAGCTAACCATCTATACCAGATTCTAGATATTATATTGTACAAGGCTCATAGCTAACCATCTATACCAGATTCTAGATATTATATAGTACAAGACTCATAGCTCATAGCTAACCATCTATACCAGATTTTTGATATTATATAGTACAAGACTCGTAGCTCATAGCTAACCATCTATACCAGATTCTAGAAAGTATATAGTACAAGACTCATAGCTCATAGCAAACCATATTTATACCAAATACTAAAAAATATACAGTACCAGACTTATAGCTCATAGTTAACCATCTTTATACCAGATCCTAGATAGTATTCAGTACCAGACGTATACCTCTTAGCTACCCATCTATACCATATCCAAAATTGTATACAGTACCAGACTTATACCTCATAGCTGCCCATCTATACACCAGCTCCTAAATTCTAGATATAATACGGTACCAGACTACTTTAGTTCATGCAGTTAATCAGCTATACCAGATCCTAGATAGTATTTGCAGTACCAGAGTTATAATTAAAAAGCAATACTTTTCGGAGAAGGAGGATAGCTGTTGAATTTGAATTGATATTAATACCCCAATTACAGGAACATATTTATTATAACTTTTTAAAATGATACGAATACGAATACGTACTAAAACTAAATTCATGGAATTTGTAATATAATATTGACCCATTATAAACGATCAATATGTTGTAACCCCCCCCCCCCTCCCGTGGTAGTACACATCAATAACGCACCTGTTAAAAGTTTTAAAACTGCTGAATGGGAAAATATAATTAAAATACCTGGTACAGAGAACAAATTCACGGCTATTGGTTGAAGTACATATACTATATATATAGTACAGTTTTAAACAATATTGTATCTTGTATTTATTCAACTGTAAGTATGTACAGTCCCGAGGACACTTTCTTTAAGAACTGACTGCGTTGCAGCGAGGATTGAGAAGGGGGGGGGGAAGGAGGCCGCGTCTGAGGGCCAGGGGGTGGGAGGACGGGAGGTGGCGCGGGAGGCTGGGACGAGACAGCCTCGTCAGAACCAGGGGCGCATTCTTATTGAGGCCAGCCTCGCCTCGCCAGACACAAACCAGCCTCGCAGGGGAATAAATTCGGATTTTACATTATTTCACATTTAATTACTTAATTAATTTACATTCATAGATTATTCAGAGGGAGAAATTTTGTTGTAAATAAATTTCCTAAAATGCAAAATAATTCTTCCCTCAGGTTCCCCAGGACTGCAACACTTGATGTATTGCAGTAAACAATTCCCCGTTAGAAACCTCTGATAATGAATTATCATCAATTAATAATTACAATTATTAATTAAAGAAATTAGTTCTTTACCTGAAAGATGAAAGCTCCAACTAGCTGTACGTGTACAGCTTTTCCTAATAAACTTATTATGTACACGTGAAATCACACTTTCCTCTAACTCCAATTAGCTGATGACGTTTGTTTAAATAGGAAAAATTCACGTCATGTACTGTTGATGTATAAATTCTAACTATGACAAAAAGAGAACTTTGAAACAGCTGGGTTTTGTACTGGCGCACTTCTATAGCTGAGTGCGTGAAAGGCCGAGAGAGCTCCGAATCTCCGACGCATGCGCTGCGCGGAGTGTGGCGCATTATAATAGAAATTAGAAGCCTTCAGAGTTTCGATTATGAATGAAAGCAGGCAAAGTTCAACTCAAAAGAAAAACACAATAATTACACAAATAGAAACAGAAATAGCAATTATCAACCTCATATGTTCCATATGTTGACGGGTTTAAATATCATTATTTTACATATATCCATAAAATAAAATATTCAGCTTAATTGCATGGGTCCATGAGGTTTTTAAACCTATAGAAAATTCAAGATTTTTTTTACGTGCGAAAACCGGCATTTGCTATGATGCAAGACTTCTAAGCAGGGGCGGATACGGGTGGGGCGGGGGGACATTTGCACCCCCCCCCTGACAGATTCAGGGAGGGACGTAGCCCCCCCCCGANCTTCTGGGAAAATGAATTTCTAGAAAATATACACCCCTGGATCCATAGTACAAGACTTCCCAGCTCAGCCTGTTTTTGCTCTGTTCAGTCTTCATCATAGTAAGGGGGGGGGCAGCACCCCCCTCACTTAAATCCTGTTTCCGCCCCTGCTTCTAAGCTAAGTAATAAGAATAATGATGAAAATATTAAAGATCATACAAATAAATCAATATGACTACAATTTTAATAAAAAAAATAATGTAAATTTTCCCTTCCTCTTTTTACTCGGTTTGCAATGTTCATATCATCCTCGCGGTTTGCAGCAAAATATTTTACGTCAATAACTCAATAACAATATTAAATCAACTAAATTCTTATCATTTGCCTAAAATTGATGCCTTAAGAATAAATTGATTACGTTAAAATTTAAACGTAGATGTAATATTTAACTCGTGACATTTAGTTACAGGGTGTTCCACGAAACATGACAGTTGGTAAATAGTTTTGAATGTCGTCTTTCATACACTGTTTTAGATAGTCAAGGCTTTATGCAGTTTATTTCGTTTAAAAATCTTAATTGCTCAAATATATTTTACTTTGAAATTAATTTTACGAACTTGACTCCTATATAATAATTTTATAATCGTCTTTGGTATTAAACAATTATACAAATTATATAAGAAGACATTCTAAACTATTTACCAACTGCCATGTTTTGTAGGACACCCTGTATATCCTTGTTTTATGAGTTCTTCGTGCCCTAAAATTTGTAATTATTCAACACCAATTTTTAAACACCTTTTATTTATGTTGATGTTTGTTTATCTTTTTTTTCTAAAAAGTTGTTTACTTAAATAGTTGAAATAAATGTATTAACAGCAGTAACATCAAACATGTCTAGGTGGAGAGATATTATTATTGGTAATTTTACATTTAAATTTTCTTTATCCTTCTTGGGATTTTTTATATTATTGCAGAGACTCAATGCAAAACTGTGGCATAAGAAGACGACTTTTTATAAACTCATATTATATATTTAAAGAGTCCAATTGAGCATAAAAAAAACAATAATATTTCCTTTCTAACAAGATCAAATACACATATAGAATGCTAAAATGTCGTCTCCTTATTTTAATTTATTGAATAAAACGAATATAGCCCAATTCAGAACGAAATTCTTCGTATCTCCGGTAATATTGAAAGCACGAAAAAGGCAGATCACATTTTGGAAATGCCAATATTAGGGGTATTTTGTGATTAATAACTTTAGAATTTAATTTGTAAGATTAGTTATACGAATAAATGTTGCAAGTTATGTCAAAGATCAAAAACGACCTTCAAATCGTCTAGACACTGTCATGTTTCGTGAGACACCCTGTATCTGGCCCTATTTAAAACAGGGCCTGCGCAAAGATAGTCCTAATAATAATAGATATGGCAACAGGAGTTTACCCAAATAGTGTAGTAACAGGCCCATAGCCAGGGGGGTGGTGGAGGTGTAAGGGGACAGCCCTTTTTTCTTGTCTGCGTGTACTTTCAACTAAATGCTACTACTTATATCCTGGATCCATTCTTTAGTACACTGCAGAATGGATCCAATGCTATGGCTTGAATGCCATAGTTAAATCAGAAATACATACTCAAATTCATCACCCAACCAATCTTTTTTTTTGAAGTTTTGGTTTGCATTGCTCTTCAGGTCGTCAAAATAGAATATTTTACATGCAATATTAATTTTCGTGTGTTTTGTATGACAAACGAAGCTTAAAAATTTATTAAGGGTATTCAACTAGGAATATAGTACTTCAGAAAATAGACACTTTATGATATCTCTATCCCTGACTTAATTGCTTGTTTTGGATACAAATCTTGATTTGTCGTGGGTTTTAGATGTCTCTGTTATTATTTTTTCCATTAGTTAGTCTCATAGGAGTTTAGGATATCAAGCATTTAAACAATTTTGTTGTTATTAAAACAATTGTAACATATACAGATTTCTCAATATATCCGTAAATTTTAATTGTGCAAAAAAGGTAGACCACATTTTGGAATTCCCAAAGACTAGTAATTTTAGATTTTAATTGTTGTAACTGGGATAGGTACTACAAAGATGTATTGACGTTATAATGCAACGCAAAACAAAGACTATTTACAAGTCGTCACTAAATTCTCATTTTTATTGGGACACCCTGTAGTACGTATCTAAAAATAAATTATTGGACTTCTACAGAAACCTGTTTTAGTTTCAATATTTTTATAGACATATTGTATTTGTATAAAGTAAATATAAGTCTAAAAGGTTGATTTCACAGTGTGGTTTTAGCTTCACTTTAAAAATAATTAATCTTTTTGTATTAGCTACGTAAATAAAATGAGCAGTAAAATTTAAATGATCAACATGTTCTGTCATCAAATATAAGAAAAGGAATTGAGTCTTTGGAACAAAATCAAATATTTAAACCTCAATATCTTAAGAACTCGATATTGTAAACCTTTGATATTTCAAACTCTGATTATTTGATCTAACAGAATTCATAGTTTGAAATATCTAAGGTCTGCAGCATTTGGTTCCAAAGATATCGTGATTAGAAAATCAGAGTTTGTGGCAAAGACTCAATTCCTTTAAAATAAAAAGTTAATTATGAACATTTTCTGTTTACTAAAAAACATCAAATTCAGAGAACTAGTTTTTGCGTAACAACAATAACAAAGGCAGCCGATCTAATGTAAACAAACATGAGTTAGTAAACGGTGAATCTTCATCTAATGCCAGAGATGCGCCAGATGTCTGTTTTTCATTTGTGTTATTGTTTACAATCTTTATTATTGTTGTTACGCAAAAACTAGTTCTTCAGCAGTCCAAAAACGTCACAGCAAAGTGTACGGCAACCCTATCGCCCCCTCCTTCTATTCAATTCTCCTTGGTAGATTGTAGTATACAAGTGTACACACAAATATATACATGTCATATTAGAGTATCCCCAAGCTTTAACGTGCCAAAATACCCACAAATCACTAGCAAAATCTAGTATTTTCTGCTTACAAATTTTTATATTAGTCTTATAGAATTTCTATAAATGATTTATTCGTTTTAAATTTTCTGATTATTCCCGTAATTGTAATTTAGAGCTGTAAACGACCTGTTACATGATTTGGGCACCCTGTACTTTTCTAGATAAGAAGCCGAGCAATTAAACTTTGTTGTATTTTCATTTTGTTTTTAAGCTCACTGGTCTGATGGCATCCCTATATTTCTAAATATCTGATTACCAAATAATTTGTTTACCGCGTAATTGTATTTAATTATTATTATTTTCCAGTGAACTAATTTTGATCATTACAATTGTTATTGTTTATTAAATGTGTGCCATTTTTTTACATAATCAGTGTTACATGGTGATAAGGACATTTAGTGATCGCATGGTGATTAAGACGCATAATCAGTGTTACATATGGTGAAAAGGACGCTCAGTTTGTGTTGCACGATGATAAAGACGCATGATCAGTGTTATATTGTGAAAAGGACGCATATTTTGTGTTGCATGTTTATAAAGACGCATAATCAGTGTATACATTGTTGAAAAGGACGCACAGTTTTTGTTGCTTGATGATTAGACGCATAATAAGTGTTACATGGTGATAAAGACGCATATTTATTTTTGCATGTTGATAAGAACGCATGGTGAAGGACGCGCATTTAGTGTTGCATGGTGATAAAGATGCATAATTAGTATTCAAGGAGTCCTTATTCGGAACGAGGGAGGGGGTGCAGGGCTGCCATAAGCCCCGTGAAATAACCTCCGGAGCCTGTTGATACGAAGAATGTCCTCCGAGTCCCGCAAACCATCTCCGCGCCTCTCGCTGCCTCTCCAAGCCTCTGCCATTCTGTGTCCATGCCCCGCATTTTGGTCTCAACAAAAAGATATTTTGCTTTTACATCCAAAAAATTTTTTTTCAAATAATCTCAACATGATAAAATAGTTTGAAATTATGCATAAACCATTTTTTAAGTCTTTTGATTGAGATAAATTATTGCAATTAAATATAAAGGTAGAGAAGTTTTTATTATTTTACAGTAGGGTTTCCAGTCATGATTACGTTACGCGTAATTATGCGTAACACTTTCTTTCACTTACGTAGGAGCATTACGCGTAATTACGCGTTTATTACGTTAACAAAAGAAAGTCTAGTTTCATGTAATTAATGCGTAATTACGCAAAATTACGTAATACGAAACAATTCCGCAATAAATAAAGTACATGTTCATTCTCAGAAATAATTATAGTGGGAAAGTATGTGTAAGGTGATGCCCGCTACAACCATTTCAAACATATTTTGACGATTTTATTGACATTTTTTTCAAACAAAGTAGGTTGAAATATTAACAAGTCGTCGAAAATTGAAAATTTATAGATTATGTATTTTTTGATAAAAATAAATTGTTGGCCCTTTGTTAAACTTTTTAGTTGTTGAACTTCAAAATTTCGTAGATGTAATTATTGCAAAATTTCGCAAAATTACTTTGTAGAAATTACGGTGTGATTTTGCAAAATTGAAGTTTTGCTAATTACGCAAAATTAATACAAAATTTCATGAAATTACCTCGTAGAAATTATGCGAAATTACAACGTAATTACGCGTATTTATAGTTTTGTCCCTTAAACGTAATCATTACGAAATTTCGCGAAATTGTGTTGTAGAAATAACGCGAAATTACACCGTAATTACACGTATTTATAGTTTTGCCTAATATGCGTAATCATTACGAAATTTCATGAAATTACATTGTAGAAATTACGCGAAATCACACTGTAATTACGCGTAATTATAGTTTCGCTTATTACGCTTAATCATTACAAAATTTTGCGAAATTACATTGTAGAAATTGCGCAAAATTACGCTGTAATTTCGCGAAATGGATATTTCCCCAATTACGCGTAATCCTGCGAAATTACACGAAATGAAAATTATTACTAGTAACTGCACGTAATTATGCGTAAGAGAATAACCTATTATGTTGGAAACCCTATTTTACAGGTGTATCTTGCATGAATCAAACTATATTAGCATTTGCTTTGTTTATATTTTTCATAAGAAAATAAGTTAAGATCAACTGAAAGCATTAACATTTGAAATTTATTAAACGATAAACTATGAAGAGATATATTTTGATTTTTGGTTTGTTAAGCAACAAAAGGTAAATAAAAAAATACAGCAAGCAGAGATCAAAATGCGGAGGCTTGGAAATGTAGCAGGAGGCACGGAGACAGTTTTGTGGGATTTGGAGGTGATTCTGCGTTAGGAGGCTCTGGAGGTTACTTCACGGGGCTCTGCACCCCCTCCCTCTAACGACGCATTTATGTCTTTAGTGTACTTTCAAGGTGAGAACATAAATACAGAATGTAGGGTTGAATTAAACAAGAAATACATTTAATACAAAATTGGGTTACTGAATACAGGATATAAGATACATACAGGATATTAGATTCACACAGGATATTAGATTCAAGGATATTAGATTCATACAGGATATTAGATTCATACAGGATATTAGATTCACACAGGATATTAGATTCATACAGAATACAGGATACAGAATCTGGATCGAGGATCCAAGATACAGGATATTACATAAATTCTGGAATTAGATACATACAGGATACAGTATATGGATACAGGCTACAGGATATTAGATACATACAGGATACAGTATGCGGATACAGGATACAGTTTATGGACACAGGATACAGAATAAATTAGATACCTACAGGATACAGTATATGGATACAGGATATTAGATACAAGCCGGACCAGGCACATTCCAACTTTTTCTAGCTGTTTCGTTAACGGTTAGTTCCAACCGTAAAAAAGAAAATTTTCTGGTAGCAATAAATTTTAAAGCTAAGAACGGAATGTTCGTTTCGTTAACGGCTTTAACCGTTTTTTTAATAACGATTATTTAACTATCTCAATTTTGATAACGACATTAACGGAAAATTTTCAACAATCGTTAACGGTCTATTACGTTATTAATGGCGCAAAGCACCAAAAAATCGTTGTCTATTACAGTGTTAACAGTTTACAAAATCGTTATAGGCAGCCGTTAACTGTCTACTATAGTATTAACGGTTTACAAAATCGTTAACGGCACAGCTGTTAAGGTTTTTTTTCGTTATTAACATTGCTAAACGCCAAAAAATTCTTTAACGGTTATGAAATCGATTAAATTGCAGCCGTTAACGATCTTTTGTAGTATTAACGGCGTTAACGGTTTGTCAAATCGTTAACGGCACAAAAAGCAATTGAACTATATTTATCCTGTCTACGGACGAGTAGTATCTAGATATCCAAATCAACTATATTTATCCTATTCTGAGCACCCAGATTCTTTCACGGCTGGAAAGCTCCAAATATATTTATCAATATTCTATCTCAAAATTTTATTCTCAGCAAATAAGAATGTGAACACAGAAGACTACATTTTAAAACATCAAAATTTTTTATTATTTACAAATTGAATGCAATTTTAAGCATAAAAAACTAACAATTCACCGTTCTAAAAAAAGTCCGTTCCGTTTTTGTTTTCAACAGTTATTTTTTATAAAAAACGGCTAATCCGTTTCGTTAACGGTTTAAAAATTAACATACAGGATATTAGATACATACAGGATACAGTATATAGGTATACAGAATAGAGGATATTATTTACTTACAGGATACAGTTTATGGATACAGGATACAGTATATGGATACAGGATACAGTATATGGATACAGGATACAGTTTATGGATACAGGATACAGGATATTCAACGTTGATTAAATTATTTTCTGTTTCAGTATTGTTGCTGAGCTGTCAGACTGCTATCAGTTTAGAAAAGTAAGAACTATTAGCGTGTCTCATTGACCAGTTTAAGGCGACCAATTCGATTATTTTAAAAGATGAAAATTTTAAACCATTGATATTTTACTTTATTTTCGGTAATTCTTTCTTTTTAGCCCTTAAAAGAGTTATTTTAGCAGTGTAACTGCATTGTATATGTAATGTGTGCAAAGCCAGTAAGAATAATAATATATTAAAAAATTAAACAAAAGTACAAATCTAATGTTGCTACAAGGTCTCAAATGAAAAGATTTTTTAAGGAAAACTGTTCTTATTGAGACTCTAAATGGACCGGTTCTTGGAAGCGTTGAGAGTGCTCTGGATCCAAGGAATTAATCCATTTCTTAAAATGATATTTTAACATTTTTTCATGAGCTCATGAACCGTACAACATCTTTTTTTCACAAACATTATCCAAATGGATTTTCGTTTAGATTCAACCAGGGATCATATCTTTCAACATTTCCTTTTTTATCCACATTTCTAAAAATTACTTTAAAAACTATTGTTATTGTCAAATGTTGAAAAATAACGACTAAGAGTATTGAATATAAAGCTTTCTATGGGATTCCCTTTGCACAGCCGCCACTTGGAGATCTACGTTTTCGGTAAAAGATGAACCAACAAGTTTATGTTAAAATAAAATCTTTAAAAAATGTATCAAGACATTGCAGTGTTGATAACTATAGTTTAATTACAACTATTTCTAGACCACCCCAACCAGTGTCCAATTGGACAGAGCCAATCAATGCAACAGAACAGAATTACAGAATATGTTACCAGGTATTTGAAAGCCTGGAGGGGGGGAGGGGGAGAGTATATCCCCTATTTTGTTTTTGCCTGATCGCTTTCAAGTTGTACTACCATACTGAATTCCATTAAATGACTGACTTGAATGAGCTATAATTTTGAAAGTTACTTAAAAACACCAAACTTTATAGAAGTCATGGAGAACAAAGCTTTATAAGCATTCTTTTCTTTTTAACTTTTGGATTAAAACCTAAGAGGTGTAAAAAATGTATAAATGAAACTGTAAGCATATTTTCAAAGTGGAACTTCATGCAAAGATAGCAATTCCCGATTTACAACGGTACCATTGAAACCTCAATTTCTAACAAGCAAGAAATGCACAAGTCACTTTCGCAGACCGCAAATGATTTTTTAAATAAAACACAAAACGTGGATATCTATTCATGCATGATTAGACAAAGCTTTTAAGGGTATCATCGACCATTGTCAGCTTTGCATGGATCTGGCCACTTGACATTACGTTTACTGTTGATTTAAGAATAAGTAAACAACAGAGTAAAAATCACCGTTCTACATTCTAGTTAAAAAATTTTGTTAACAATTGAAATTCGAAAAAATAAAGAATTATAATTTTATTTGATATCAGGTTGGAGGAATCATGTCAGCTGTTGGAGCACGTAAGAATTTTAGAATTAATAAATTGTTTAGTTCTTTTTTCATTCAAATAAAATCTTTGTTGATCATTTTACAGTTAAGTTCAAATGTAAAGAGACATCGGAAGAATTTATAAAATCCGATATCTTCCTCGTTATTTCTCAGCCAAAGGATTAAGAGGTACCGTTGTGATTCGGACATGCAGCTCTATACATTCAAGGTTATGACGTCTAGAATCCCTTTAAGTAGATTTAATATCCTCAGCTTAGACTGAGGGGTCCAGAAATCACAAACAGTCTAAATCTCATCAATAATTGATTTGGGGAAAATCATCTCTTTACTATATTTGGACTAATTTTTCTCATTCGTAATTTTAATTTAATTTTAATGTTATTTAGAGAGTAAAAATCAATGTTTTCTATTTGTGCATAATTTTGCATATTTTTTCTCTTTTCTTTTGGAAACCTGTATTTTCAAAAAAATTTATTTAAACAAATTTAAACTACACCATTTATATATGTATTTATATCTTTGTGCGTGAATAAATCTTTATAATAATAATTCACCTTGTTTTTGATTTCAGATGAAGAGGAGACAGATGATTGTTTACAGTTGACAGTTTATGTGCCTTTAATCTCAAATAGTTCATCTTCTTCTTCAATGCCAGTTCTTCTATGGATCTCAGGCGGAGGGTTTCTGATAGGTAGGATGGAACCAATTATGAATGAATGAATTTCATTTTCTGTATTTTCTTGATTTTAAAACCTGAACTATTCAGTTGATATTAGTATACAACTCTCATCAACAAACTGATATACTGTTAACGGCAAATTGGTATATCTACCGTTAATACCATTAAAAATTCGAGATCATCAACGAACGGCAACTTCATTAAAAAACGAACGGATACATAAGCCTGTTCTTCTTTTTATTTTATCTTTATTTTATCTAACCGTTTTTTTCAACCAAGTGAAAAAGTTTAAAAATGCCTGAAAAGTTAACATTTAACAAGAATATTTTTATTCGTTTCTTTTACAGGAGGAAGTCATTGGTATGGACCAGATTTTCTAATGATTCACGAGGTAAATGAAAAATACGTATTTTAGATATGTTAGCTATAATGGCCAAATCGGCTGGACCAAATGGGCTGAAATTTTTCGAGAAAACCTATTGATGCCCTGGGGGTATAAACAAAGGCTAAAAACATCGATTTTTCTTTATTGAATTTTTTCGATAGGCAACGCCGGGCACTTCAGCTAGGTACTAATAAACTTAAACTTCATCTTTGGCAACTGGTGGATAATAAGCCAGATAGTACGTTTTCCCTTTACACAATGTAAATGTAATTCAGTAAATGTTAATACAAGAGGGGCCAACAAACGGTGTGAATGTGATTCTCCTAGAATCTCGTATTGCCCCCCTGGCCCCCCGGTGGGAAAAAAATGTTTGTGCTTCGTGCTTAATTCCGGCATTTTTTGTTTGCTATTCTTAAAGGTTATCCTTGTTGTCATCAACTACAGAGTTGGTCCTCTTGGATTCCTAACCTTGGGGACTCAAGATGCACCTGGAAATATGGGACTTCTTGACCAGGTAGAATAGAACATAGTCCTGGAAATATGGGACTTCTTGAACAGGTAGAGCAGAATATAGTCCTGGAAATATGGGACTTCTTGACCAGGTAGAGCAGAATATAGTCCTGGAAATATGGGACATCTAGACCAGGTAGAGCAGAATATAGACCTGGAAATATGGGACTTCTTGACCAGGTAGAGCAGAATATAGTCCTGGAAATATGGGACTACTGGACCAGGTAGAGTAGAATATAGTCCTGGAAATATGGGACATCTAGAACAGGTAGAGCAGAATATAGTTCTGGAAATATGGGACTTCTTGACCAGGTAGAGCAGAATATAGTCCTGGAAATATGGGACATCTAGACCAGGTAGAGCAGACTATAGACCTGGAAATATGGGACTACTGGACCAGGTAGAGTATACTGAACATACTCTTGGAAATATGGGACTTCTGGACTAGAGTATACTAAACATAAACACCTGGAAATATGTGACTCCTGGACCAGGTAGAGTATATATACATATACTTTGCTTGTCTGACTGTTAGTTTGTTTGTAGCCAAAAAAACGTCAAAACGGCAGAACCGATAAGGCCCAATTTTTGTGGGACCTCGCGTGACCCCAGGGAAGGTTTATGGATGATCAAATTGTCTAAATTTGACTAACAAAATTCGATTTTTGAAAATTTTGACTGAATATACTCCTGGAAATGTAGGACTGCTGGACCAAAGTATACTAAATATACTCCTGCCTGATGGGACTCCTGGACCCGAGTATGCTGAATATGGGACTTGATGTTTTAATTGTAATGATGATTTAACATTTATATTAATATTTTAAGATTGCTGCACTGCAATGGGTCCAGGATAATATTGCCTTGTTTGGAGGTGATCCAGACAGGTATAATATACTGCCATGTAATCTAATATTCAAACTCTACTGGGGTCGGTAATAATATCAAAACAACAAAGACTTTTTAGAAATATTTTTTTAAACCTAACAATTGCATTCAACTTCGAAGTTTTAAAGTAAACAAAGAGAAGCTGTTAATTGACAACTTCTCAAAAGCTTGATAGAAAATTTCAATTGAAATTGAAGGTCGTCTTCACTATATTTATATATACAACGACGACTGTATGAGAAATGTTTGCCCCCCCCCTGAAGTGCTGGGGAGAAGACAAAATTACCAGTCATGTGGGTGGGAGGGGGGAGGGTGTTAAGGATTGTGCTGAGTTTACNGTGAATAATCCTGTATATTTCTAGAGTAACTGTGTCTGGTGAATCCTGTATATTTCTAGAGTAACTGTGGCTCGTGAATAGTCCTGTATATTTCTAGAGTAACTGTTTCTGGTGAATCCTGTATACTTCTAGAGTAACTATATCTGGTGAATAATTCTGTATATTTCTAGAGTAACTGTGGCTGGTGAATCTGCAGGAAGTTTTTCAACCTTTTACCATCTTGCATCTCCTAAAAGCAAAGGACTGTTTAAAAGAATTATTGGTGAATATCCTTTTTTTGGTAAAATTTCTGAATTTGACATTCTGAAATAATTTTGTGAATATATGTAGGTCAGAGTGGACTGGGTGGTTTAGCTCCAGGATTTCATCAGTTTACACCACAGGAAGCAATCAGGTAAACTTAGTTTTCTTTTTGAAAGAATGGTTTAGTTAGGATTCAAGAATAACGAATATCGCAAAACTCCAAATTCGCAGAAATTTGTAACAAGTTTTGAAGAAATTTGAAGTTTTTATCTCGTTTTTAGAATTTTAAAGTTAAATTTAATTTAATCAAGAAGTTTTTATAAATCTCAAAAAGTTTTATTTTAATCATGCTTTTGATTTTAAATTTTAAATTTTTAAAAACAAAACCAAATTTTGCAATGGGTTCGTAAATGTCGTCGTCCTTGATTTTATATTTCAATAAAATTACAGATATGGTCATGAAGCTGCTATAGAAGTTGGATGTCTTCAGGTCTGAAATTTTAATAAATATTTAAATAAATTTTAAATGTTTTCTAACATTTATTTGTAAAGTTGTTTCCTGAGGCAATACTTGACTGTTTGAAGCATGAATCTGACTTCTGGTTGAGTCTGGTAGACTTTGCAAGTAAGTATTAAACAGCACAGTCAAATTTGAACTTTTTTTTAACTTTTCTGAAAAGTGCAATTTTTCGGAATAATTTTTGTTCATTAGTGCTTCCCAAAATTGAATTTTTGCTTTTTATGAAAAATTTTTTCAAAAAGAAAATTTTCCCTAACTGTAGAATATAGGTCGTTAAAGGGTGCTTTACCAAAATCTTCTTATTTTGAACCTGATTTCCTGGTCGTTATTAAGCCTTTGTACAGTCGTTGATGATGTTATTGATATATATCGGTCTTTGTGAATTCAATAAGGTAAACAGAGTATGTCAATATTGATGCAATCTACTTAATCAATAAGGAATATGAACAGCATCAATCAACAAATTCAAAAACAGCTTTTAAAATATATCTTATTGGATCGGACGAATTTATATAAATTTTACTGATAATTTAACAACAAGACGTAGGTTAATTAAAAAGTTTTTCATTGTTCGAATGTTTGAAAGAAATTGCGAACTTAATTGTTTGAGATTCTTTTCAGATATAGTCTTGCTTACAATTCTCATCCATGCTCTCTTTAAACAAGAGTCAAAATTGTTTCTGTTTCTAAAATACAAAAACATTTTTAATTTTTTGAATTATTCTATTTCAATTTAATGGTATTTCCTCTCCTGAAGATAAATAGCTGATACGGTACTCTTGTAAATTTAATTTGATGGCGTGATGGACTTCACAATGCTTAATATTTTTTTCAAGAACGGCTGTTTTCGTTCCAAAACGATTTTAAAATTAATGATTTTTGCCTTGCGTTAACGGACTCTTCCGTTAATTTTCAAAAACTTGTCACTCGTCAAATGAACTTTGCCCAGTCCTGCGAGGAAGGGAACTCCCGCACGCTATGAGCCTCCACTATGCAGACACGATCCTCCCAGATTTGCTAAGCAGACCAAGCCTCCGCCATACAATGAGATTCTCCGCTATACAGTAAACAGAGAATAGTTTCCTTAACACTCTTGGTTTTTCCATGAATTACAATAGTTTTATGACCATTTGATTGGTTTATAAAACGTGAAACATTTCTTACGCAAAAAGGGAAACATTTTTAGAAAAAATTCTGAAGGTAATTTTATTTGATATTTTATACTCTTTGATTTAAGCGATACCCTTTTTTTTGAAATTTTTTACGAGATTAATATAATCAATAATTTTTCATTGACAAATGATCTAAATCTAAATAAATATCCGAAAAAGGTATTGCTTAAATCAAAGATTAATACAAAACAAACTAAGTTCAATTCAGAAATGAATTTCCAAATAGCCTTCTTACTGCGTAAGAAATGTTTTATTGTTAGCATAAATCTTGTAAACCTATTTATGAGTCAATATAAGTTAAAAATCATGACAATCAATAAACAACATTAATCTCAAGTAAAATTACTTTGCCACCATGTTGAAAAATATGAAAATAAATTCTATATTACATGTAAAAACCAAGAACTATTAGAAAGCTCTGCTGTATAGCGGAGGCTCGGTTACTGCATGGCGGAGGCTCGGTCTGCCTTGCAAATCTGGGAGGCTCGTGTCTGCATGACGGAGGCTCATGGCGACCGTTGGTCCCCTCCCTCGCCCTGCATAATGCCCATCTCTAATATCGATGCCTGTGTAAAGTTGTAAAGGTGTGTATGTGTTAAGTCCAGTCTATTTTAAGACCCGGGCAGACATCTAAACTATAGCGAGCTGTACAGTACACATACAGATTATACCAAGCAAAACGGGATAGTACACCAACTAAACCAGCACTTTCTAGGAAAAGTCTAGTGTGGAGAGTTTAACGTTTTGTTTTGTAATCGTAATAATGAAATTCTTGTAACAAGATTTTCTTGACATTGTGTTGATAATCCCTTTGTTATTAGTTGGTGTATTGTCTCAGCCTGTAGTGGATGGACAAATTACAGGAATCTCATATTTTCAAAACATTCATTCATTTTTCTTGACAATATTAAACTTACTAATAATTACAAGATTAGAATAAAATTATGCCTTTGCAACAAACTCAAAGATTTGTAACCTGATTTTTTAAACTTGTGATATTTTAAACTTAGACTATGATATCAGAAGTCAGAGTTTGAAATATTTTACGACAATGGGTTGTAAAGATATAGGGATTACAAAATAAGAGTTTGTGGCAAAGACTCAATTCCGTTTCCTTTCTTCAAAGTGAATTTCTAAATTTATTTCTATGGGTTTTTTTTCATGATAATTTAGAGCAAGAAAATAAAGAAAATATATCAAGATGACCCTTACCTCCCGGAATATCCAGAAATTGTTTTTCAGGTTTTCAGGATCATTTTTAAACAGATAGCCTTGCAAGATTATCTCATTAAAGAACAAAATTTCGATTTAAAAAAAAAAATTCTGTTTTAAAACTGTTAAACAGAGCGGGAATTATGATAGGAGCGTGGACATCCTATTGGGAGCAAACTATAATGAGGAAAGAACATACCTTTATGTTAAAATTATTAAAAGTCGAGTCGAGGGTGAGAAAGCGATGAAAAGAAATGAGTTTTTACCAAAAGCTCGCATTTTCTAACCCACCTGATGGTGTAAACATTAGATATTTCAAACTATGATGAAAAAGTCCAAGTTTAAAATATGAAATGTTAATACCATCAGGTTTCAAAGATATAGGGAATAGAAAATTTTAGTTTGTGGCAACAACTTAATTCCGTTGCATCATGGCCAATCAAAGAGCTTTGAACTTTTAGTTAGCATTTTTGATATCTGGCTTAGGACTTATTGATAAATTCTTAAAACTGGTCCAGGGACTCCTCATCACTCAAGCATTCATAGCACTTCCTTTTCTTCTTCCGGTAGCAATGGATCAGGTAATTTATCATCATTATCATCATTATCATCATTATCATCATTATCATCATTATCATCATTGTCATCATTATCATCATTATCATTATTATCATCATTATCATCATTATCATCGTTATCATCGTTATCATCGTTATCATCGTTATCATCGTTATCATCGTTATCATCATTATCATCATTATCATCATTATCATCATTATCATCATTATCATCATTATCATCATAATCATCATTATCATCATTATCACATAATTGATATAAAATATTATATTTCAGTGGGATACTCTGGGACCTTTATCCTTGTTTATGAAGAAAGCCTTACAAGTAACAATATTTACTTTTCAAAAATATATAAGCTTCTGAATTTTTTAAAAATTAATATTTTCCTTTTAAAATGTTTTAGTATAGATTGCTCGCTCAGATATTAAATATGTATTTATTTTGTTGTTACACTGAACCTATTTTGAGAATATATTTAAAAATCACTAACTAAACGTTTTATTCCTTATCGATAAGAATAATGATTTTCAGGTTACTGATGAAGACAGTTTATTAGCTAGAGAAATACTTCAACATTACACTGGTAAAATAATAATTTATTTAATAATTTTACGGAGTGATATTGACTAAGATTGAAGTAATAATGAGATGGAAAAAAGTATGTAAATCATCCGCAACGGTCCGGTTTTGGATAATCTTGGCCATTTTGAATAATTAATCCTTCTACCAAGGACGTACCCCGGAAGAAGTGACCATGGATGACCTTCCTAAACTGACCGACATGTTTACAGATGCATTCTTCTGGTTTGGAAACCATAGGTTCACATTTTCACATTCATTTTTACAAAAATCTAAATTTTAGAAATGAGATAACTTATTTCGTCAATTTCAAAAAGTTCAAAACTTCAAAAAGTTCATCTCTAAAATTTAAACATATTTTGTCAACTGGTTTTTACTAATCAAAAATTTATTTGCTTCAAAAGTTTCCACTGTAGGTATCGAGTTTAGGCGTTTTACAGCGTTACACCATCACATTCAAAAGTTTTGATCTCAAGCTTTAGTAAAATCCAACAATTAAAAAAAAATGCTTGAGTCATTAACTTTTTTTAATTCACAAAATTGTGTGCTTTCATTTGAGGAATTTTAAGTATTTTTATTTATCAAAATTTACTAATTAAAAGTTTTTTTTGTAAGTTGCAAGACTCTTTGGTCTTGCTTTTTTCTTAAAACTTGACATTTTTATGCCTACTGTAGTTAATATTTATAATGTACTACTTTCTCTGTACTTAGGTTTATTGAGATGCATAGAGGACATGCTGAGGGTACATTTTATCAGTATATAAATAAACATATTAATGACGATTTTCAGGTAATATCGAAACTAAAGGGACTAGATATGTAATTTTAAGTAAATATTTGTCTGATCGAGAATGAATGAGATATTTTTGTTTTCCTAGCTAAAAATTGCTTGTTTTCAACTGATGGTTCTTAAAAAACATAAGCAATTTTGCTCTTCAGACAAAATGATGGAAGTTTTCAGAATCTAGCACGTTTTATAATAGAAAATATCTTCCTCATTATTACTCAGAGAGAGGTTTACTTTTTTTGGGACAGTTATGTAAAATAACCACGCGTTCCGAGAAGTTTTCGGGGGAAAATTCGCACATTTTCATCCCCAAAAGACGATACAATTGTGTACAACTACTTTTTCGGGAAATTATAAATTTTACTTTACCAAGGGTTCCCCCCGACCAATTTTGTCTACAAAACATCCCTCGATCCGCGCTCCATGTTTTGTAGACAAAACTGGTCTAGGGAACCCTTGGTTAAGTGAAATTCGCATAACTTCCCTGTAACCTGTAAAGTTTTTAACTTTAATAATTTATTTGAATTAAGGGATGTGGGCACAAGCTCATGCATACAAATAAAATGACATATCAGTAAACCTATTTCCAGTTTGTTATTGATTTCTTTCTATCATTTGTATTACTGAAGATTGATTAGGAGACGTATACCCCAACTTGTTCCGTTGCGCCGTTGTCTTAAATACTTGACTATAGGTTACCCTATAAACCATAGTGAACTATTAATTTTGGATAAACGATAATGATTTTTGTTAAACGCATTTTCGTTAAGTAACTAACGGCTTGAATAAAAATGGAACTTCAGATCAGATTGAGTTGTGTCCTTCTGGATGTAGCTCCGTCAGACATTTTTCAAACAAATTCATTTTTCATTTTTTTTGTTCCTCTGTCTTTTCTCTTGTGTCTATCATTTCCTTTCATGTTTTGTAAACTCTGGATTCTCTGGTTCTGTAAGAAAGTTTCTCTCATATTCACCTACTAATCTATTTCTTACTTCCGGCTTCCTTGTGCTATTCTTGCTGCACTTTGATTGTATCAGCCTGTGTAAATGTCATGTTCATCAGTGCCCATCTAGTAGTCTATTACTTGATAAAAACTCAACACTCCGGCTAGAACGCACTTCCTTCAACCTCCTTGTAAATTATAACTTTGAATTGTATTGTATGGAATGCGAGACAAGATTCAGTGACTGTTAGGAATCAGTTGTACTTATTAATTGATTAACTGGCATGTGTTTAAAACTTATATATAAATAAAACAAAATAATTTTCAACAAATATAATGCAAAGATTTTAAGAAATGGTTTACGATTTTAACTCGTTGCTTCATATAACTTTACTGTAAAGTAATTGTAAATAATTACAACTGTAAATCGTGATACAATTATTTTCAGTTTACCTGGACGGGTCTTAAATCTCTCCCTGGAGTTTGGAAAGCCATTATAAATCAGAAATTTAAAATAATGTTTAAAGATTTGCTGAAAACATTTAAAAGTAAAATTTCTAAACAATTTAATTTTTCTATTTCTCCTCAATACACCTATTTACTGGGTAATTAACAGATTGTTTAATAATTTTAATTTAATTTGGCCAAATTTTATTCAACCCATTTTATATCTTATTTAAGTTCTATTGGTTTATTGAGATAAATTTGCTGTTATAGGCTGAAAAGCCGTGATCTTGAAGGGATAGTAATGGTACTCCGGCTAGCTCAATCCCTCGCTTCTTCATTTGATTTGATTTGATTTAATTTGTTGAGAAGTATTTTATGAGAGCTGATTCTAGTCATGCAGATGAGCTGTGTTTAATCTTTTCTCCTATACTAACTAATCAAAATAAAGAAAGAAGGTTGGTTAAAAAAACTGACAGAAAAAGCTCAACTTTTTTGAAATAGGTTAAAAAAGAGTGCACTGTTAGATGAAGCTTTACAATTTTGTTCGTTATAACTAACGGAAGTATTTCGAACATTTTGTTCATAATATTGAACTACCAGAAACATTAGGAACATTTTGTTCATAATATTGAACTAACAGAAACATTATTTTGTTCATAATGTTGAACTAACAGAAGCATTAGGAACATTTTGATCATAATATTGAACTAACAGAAACATTTGGAACATTTTGTTCATAATATTGAACTAACAGAAACATTAGGAACATTTTGTTCATAATATTGAACTAACAGAAACATTAGGAACATTTTGTTCATAATGTTGAACTAACAGAAACATTAGGAACATTTTGATCATAATATTGAACTAACAGAAACATTTGGAACATTTTGTTCATAATATTGAACTAACAGAAGCATTAGGAACATTTTGTTCATAATATTGAACTAACAGAAACATTAGGAACATTTTGTTCATAATATTGAACTAATAGAAGCATTAGGAACATTTTGTTCATAATATTGAACTAACAGAAACATTTGGAACATTTTGTTCATAATATTGAACTAACAGAAGCATTAGGAACATTTTGTTCATAATATTGAACTAACAGAAACATTAGGAACATTTTGTTCATAATATTGAACTAACAGAAACATTAGGAACATTTTGTTCATAATATTGAACTAACAGAAACATTAGGAACATTTTGTTCATAATATTGAACTAACAGAAACATTAGGAACATTTTGTTAAAAATAAGACACAGAATGTTAACCTTGTTAATGTTAAACTAAATGGTGTCCTAATAAACATTTAGGAATTAAGAGACGATTGAATTGAAAATCGTCATTGATATCCGATAGTTGATAAATGACAAAAAGGGTATCATGTCTTAAGAGCTTTTCCAAATGTGGTCTGCCTTATTTACATCTTCAGAGTTGACGGAGAAATCAAATATTTGAACAATTTTGTTTTAATTTAATAAATTGAAATCTGGACACATTTTTTTAGTATCTCCGTCAATTTCGATGGTGCAAAAATGGTAGACCGCATTTTAGGATTCCTAAGAATAATAGATTTTTGTTTTAATTGTGATAATACTATACTTTGTTTATATAATAATACAGCGCGGAACAAACACAATACAGAAGTCGTCACTTAATTCCCATGTATATTGGAACACCCTCTTTACTTTATAAAAAAAGTTCGTAATTTCTATATTTTCGGGAAGTTCGATATTAGAAAGTAATACAATGGTTTCTTTTATCAGTGTATACTGTTAAAGTTTATTTTAAATCTATGAAGGCGTTCATTAGTTTAATTTAGTTATTTTTATCGTTTTTTAAACAGCTGTATTTTAACTACAACAGAAATATGGAATTCATTCAAATGATGTAGCTTTAATCACAGAATAATTAGAATTTAGAGTTTTTAGTTGGAGCTGAAATAGTACTCTTAAAATTTCACATTTTTGAATTTATAATGGTTTGACAGTCATGTTGACGAACTACCCCTTATCTTCTCCCCTTTTATTAGCTTCGATAACAAGGAAAAAGGGTGGGTTTTATAATATTAAACTTTTAAAAAGTCATTTTATTAATTTTTTTGTAGTGCCCGAGATCTGCAGGTATCCAAGTTTATTACAACTGCTTGGACTAACTTCATGAAAACAGGAGACCCAGGTCTAGGCTGGCAATCTATTTCAAGGTTAGTTTTAGTTTAATAATTTTTATTCTTAATTTTAAGAATTTTATCATTTTTCATTGATTTTTTTTTAAATAAGGCCTTGAAACGTTGACTTTGGACCCAAAGAAATGTTTGATTAGTCATGCTTTCCGATAACAAAACTTTTAGAATCGAAATGTTTATGTTATTTGTTGTTGTTAAGAGACTTGACGAGTTTACTCAACATGTGAAATAAATACGCTTTATGGAAATACTATTTTAAAACTTCATTATATGTAGACTATAGATTCAATTAACTTTTTAATATTTTAAGCACTGATTGGATGTATATGAGTATTGGAGAGGAGCCTGTAATGGAAGTGGAAGAGGATTACATACAAAGAATGGATTATTGGAAAAACATTCTTCCAAGAATACCGGAATATTAAATTTATCAACAACAAAAACATATTCTTTATTTCATAGTAATAAATAATTTATAAAAGATTTTTGGCTATTTAATTTGGAAAGAACACAAGTAAAAGATAAAGGTATTAGATAATTCAATTCATGTTTTTATATGATTCCTTGGGTAGAAAATGTCCCAGAATGTACTCAGTAAATCCGCGAAAATTGAAAACCATCCAAGTACACCAAAATGTTGGATAAGAGATGGATAATTTTACTCATAATCTCATACATGGTGACGGATGAAGCTTTTGCTGACGGGATCTCAACAAGAATATGCTCTGGAAAAGTATGTATTTCTGAAGAATATTCCAAAACATTCCATACTGAACTTCCTCCAGTAATAGAAGTAGGTAAGAGTATATTAATACAACTGAAACGTGATAACAAATTTTATTTAACTATTCATTTAATGGACATGAAAGGTATCAAGTCATCATTTTATGTTTGGCCTTCTATGGGTAAATCTTATAGTCATTGAGATGTTTTCCGATTTGAAAAATGACACCACCTCTATCGTCTAAAGATTAATTTTTTTTAGAATTGCATTTGAATCAGATATTATCGATAGATCTTCAGCGACGTACAATAACCTTAAATCTTCACACAGTATTGAGTTGGGAGGACCCATGGTTAGATTTTTTGGTTAATATATTACATTTTTTACATTTTTTCTAGTTTTCTACTTTTCTAGAACTTGCAGCTTCCTAGCTCTCTCCAATTTTCTAGAGTTTTATTAGTTTAGTTTCATAGTCTCCCAGTTTTTTTTAACAATTGTGCTTTCTAACTTACTAGCTGTATGACTCTTTAACTGCTTAGCTTTCAGCTGTAGCTAGATATCTATCTAACTATATTTCTAGTGACCAAGATTTATGACTTTCTAGCTATCTAGCTATCTAGCTGCAAATTGCTATCACGCTTATTCCCAGCATTCTAGCTACAGCCCTTTTCTAGATAAACAGGAATAATTTTAACTGCTTAAAGACTACTAAGTCGTCTGCGACCTCAGAAATGTTTTTTGAAACAAACATAAAATAGCTCGAGTTCTGCTATTGTTTTGCTTTCATTACCAGAGATACGAATGATTTCTTTTAAAATTTGACAGTTTCATGGTTTTGTTTAATGAATATGGCTTTATTTAAAAAGTATGGTTTTTTTTGATAAATGTTCCATTGATATACAGAAATGTCATGTAGCTTAAAAAAACCTCATAATTAAATTGAGCTTTTTTTCACATTTTCAAGAACATCCTGTGCAATTTAAAACAGGCCTGAGCTATAAAGGGACAAAAATAAAACAGATTTCCTTTTTAAAATTTACCAAAAAAAAAACATTTCTTATGAGTAATATAAAAAAAAATATTTTTTTCCAAAAATGCGTGAAAACGGTCCACGCTGTTATTGCATGGGCAAAAATAAAAATCATAGGGAACCATAATATCTCATACACAAAATCTGACAACATCTTGGACGTGCATCTTTGTAAAGATATGTAATCATGTTGGTGAGGAATGTGTTTGACTGGCTGAGGTCTCCAAGCCCCGATTTTGTATTCAGTTTTCACTTTGTTGAGGCACCTGTGTCAAAATATGACAACGCATAAAACGCATCAGCTTTCTAGCTTTTAAGATTTCTAGCTTTTCAGCTTTCTGGCTTTCCTGCTTTCTACCTTTCCAGCTTTCTAGCTTTCGAGCTTTCTAGCTTTCCAGCTTTAAAGCTTTTTAACTTTCTAGCTTTTTAGCTTTCTAGCTTTCTAGCTATGGAGCCTTCTAGCTTTCCAGCTCTCCAGCTTTCTAAAATTCCAGATTTCTAGCTTTTAAACTTTTTAGCTTTCAAGTTTTACAGCTTTCCAGCTTTCTAATTTTCTATCTTTCTAGCTTTCCAGCTTTCTAGTTTAACAGTTTTTTAACTTTCTAGTTCTAGCTTTCTTCTTTATAGCTTTTAAGTTGACTGAGTTTTTAGGATTGTAGCAGATGGAAAGAACCTTCCTGTGTTTACACCCTTTAAAGAGGCAAATCTGTGGGTACCAGATACATTAATTCTTAACCTTAGAAGACGAATTCGATGGGACGAGGAACAAGGAAAGCTTACAACCATGCAAGTGACCAAACTGCCTGGAGATAAGGTTTTATTATTTTAAATTTAGTTTTATCTTAACTGCGAGGTGTAATCAATAAGTTTCGCTAAACAAATGCTAGGTATACTTCGAAAAGTTTCAATTCTTAATTTTTTTTTTTTCTGAGAGTTCACTATATCTACTCTATAACCGGATACATGTTTGGTCAGGTTTGCGTCAAGCAGATTATTGTTGTGACGTACAGAGAGTTCTCCTAAAGGTGGGTTAGCTTTGCTGTCACAGCATAGGAATATCTAGAATATTGAAAAATGTTTTTATTAGACGCTGCAAAAACCAAGCAGAACCCTAAAACATGATCCAACACGCATTTTAAAACGATTTTATAAACTTTAATGATGGTTTAATGAGGTTAAAAAGGAAAACATGAATATTTGAAGGATTATGCATGACATGTCCGGGCGGGAAAAGATCATCGAGACCCCGAAAATGATCGAAAATATTGAAAAATGTTGAAATCATACTAGCAAGGGTTCTAGAAGTATGTTTACTAGACAGCTTAATTTATGCTTTTACATTGTAAACAAAGTTGCAAAGTAAGATTTGAAAAATAAAAAGATCTGGGCTAAATTTGTCCCAAAGTTTCTGACATAGGACCAAAGGGAAGACACTGATTATGGATCTCAAATGTAAATCAAAACTAGAAAAATCCTTAAAAGTATTTCCTTCATTCAATACTGAATCTTCCTTTTCTCTTGATCGCTCTTAAAGGGTGTAAAAACAGACTCTGATAATCAAGTTTGAGTCCATTTGGGAAATTTTCTTGCTGGGACGAAAGAAGCTAATATACTTTCGGAAGAACGCACCTTACATTACAACGAAGAACTGATTAACATCAACTAATCTGAAAAATAATCCGGTATAAATATAGTGAACTTTAAAAAAAATAATGCAGTTTATTTTTCTGAAAACTTCCTAGCAATCAGGCAATATGCTCACTTCATTAGAATAATGAATAAAGTCCCTTAATATAATTTAATTTAGAGTGCCAAGGTTAAAGAGGAATATGTTTCTGAGGTTGAGCTAGGTTGTGATATGGATTTTCATCTGTATCCCTTCTACAACATTAGATGTGATTTCAACATGACAATTCCAACCAAGAACGCCAGGTTAATTATTAGTTTTTATATGAAACTAACCAACTGAGTCTAAAACTAAAGAATGAAAAGTTTTGACTTAAATTTTAAGTTCATAGTTAAATGCCACTTCTGACTTAATTTAAACCTGAACTTTGACCGTGAGGTTAAATATTTAATCCCTGTGGTTAAATATTTAACTCGCCGAAATCGACGAGTTAAAATTTAAACACAGGGTTAAAATCTTGAAATCCTGAAATCCCTATTTGTCTATCATCAATCAGCGGTAAGCGGCATTTAACTAATTACGTTATATTTAAAAGTAAAAACCTTGATTTAATAAATTTCACGTTTAGATTAATTAATGTTTGCACGTAAACCAAAAATACGGTTGTAACTGGAAATATGTTTTTTTTGCCATCACGTAAATAATTTAAAATTAAAAAAAAAACCAGCTGATTACCGAATACCGATACTTACGTAATAATTCTCCGTAAATCCTTTTCTTTGATTGGTTCCGATTTTTCCCGGGAAGTTTAAATTTAAAATTGAGAAAGTTTAATATTTAAGTCGCGCATTCTTTACTCTTTAGTTTTAGACTCTGGTGTCTAAAAGAAATTGAATAATTGAAACTCAGCTGGATTTATTTTCACACATCCGAGTTTTTGGACATTTCTGAACTTTGAGGTTAACTAGAGGTTATCATTATTTTTGTAAATACTGTTTAACCCTATTCCTGCTGGGGTCATTGAAAACCAGGATATGCTGGGGGGGGGNTTTAAGAGTCCTGTAAACTATATTGTTTAGTGAGATAATGTTTAAGAGTCCTGTAAACTATATTGTTTAGTGAGATAATGTTTAAGAGTCCTGTAAACTATATTGTTTAGTGAGATAATGTTTAAGAGTCCTGTAAACTATATTGTTTAGTGAGATAATGTTTAAGAGTCCTGTAAACTATATTGTTTAGTGAGATAATGTTTAAGAGTCCTGTAAACTATATTGTTTAGTGAGATAATGTTTAAGAGTCCTGTAAACTATATTGTTTAGTGAGATAATGTTTAAGAGTCCTGTAAACTATATTGTTTAGTGAGATAATGTTTAAGAGTCCTGTAAACTATATTGTTTAGCGAGATAATGTTTAACAGTCTTGTAAACTATATTGTTTAGCGAAATAATGTTTAATTGTCCTGTAAACTATGTTGTTTAGTGAGATAATGTTTAAGAGTCTTGTAAACTATATTGTTTAGCGAAATAATGTTTAAGTGTCCTGTAAACTATGTTGTTTAGTGAGATAATGTTTAAGAGTCCAGTAAACAATATTGTTTCTTGAGATAATGTTTAAGAGTCTACAGGACTATACTATATAGTTTCGTGAGATAATGTTTAAGAGTCCTGTAAACTATATTGTTTAGTGAGATAATGTTTAAGAGTCCTGTGAACGGGATTAGATTAGCGGACCACTTCAAATTTCAGGAAAATCAGATTTTTGACTTATTTTATCTAGAATCTTTAATTACAATTTATCTCTTATACTATTTGTATCCGTCCCGTCAAACTACAGGGTGATTTTTTTTAAAATGTTCACCAAAGCAAAACTAGGCATAAGAGAAAGATAAAATTAATATTTATTAACTCGTTATTACATGACATTTGATAAAGAAAACAATTATCTCCAACATTAATAATCTTTCTCTGCTTCAGGAGGAGTTCAAACGTCTTATAAACTTCGAACCCGATATTTGGACTACTTGACTTATGTTTATCACATGGAGGACGAATTTAATAATTTAAAAGCTGGAATCGTATTTTAGAAAATCTTCTCATATATCTAGAGTTCTTTAAAGTTATTTCAACTGGTCAAAAACCGTAATAAATAAAAATTTGAAAAATTATTTTAGAGAGAAAATGGAGAAAAATGCCAAAAAATACCGTACTTAATGCTGTGATTTTAAGGTTCCAAGCTCTCAAGTAAAAATCTAAGAGCATTTTGCCAATTACTTCTTTAAAACTAAAGCCGACAACAAGTGCTTTATAGTGCTAAAATTTACATGTAAATGGCTATATAAGCATACGTGAGTAATAAAATCAAAGTCCAAGGCATTGAAACACTTCAAAGACGACCCTGTCTTAAACATCTATGACACTTTTTATAAGCAGGCTGAATCTATTGATGTTTGACACTGTTTGACCTGTTTGTGGCTTTTAAAGATATCAAATGTCAGACAGTGAGTAAGAAATTAGGAAACATATTCAATATTGTGGATTTTTCACCCAATTAAGCACAAATAAAAAAATCAACTTTTAAAAATCAGCCTTCATAGTAAACTTTACATTAGATTTAAATATTATATGATTTGAGTTTTTAGTATGTAACCAAATAAGTTTCCTTTTCTTATACTAAAGTAGCGCCACGACGAGGTCACAAAGGCGTACCAGAAATAGCACTAAAATTTAACTTTCTATACTTCTGTCTCGCGGTGTACTAAAATCAAGAGCCTCATTTTCTTATCCCTCAAAAAAAAATTGTTACAGCAGATATTGAGATCAAGCCCTGAAGATTATGGCTTATTGGCTATTTCACACAAAAGTTTGGCCTTGGGTCAGTAACCAACTAAACATATTTGGAAAACTACATTCAATATCTTTACATTGAGGTTACTGAAAATCTTTTTATTAGTTTGACAGTGAATACGTGATGGATTTCCGACCTTTCGAGAATGGACTTATTGTTCCCTCTACATGGTATTAACAATTAAACAACAGTTTAACCCAGATTTAAGGAGGCATCAACACAATTTAGAATATGTCGTCTTGACAATTTCTCAATGGGTTTTATAATATTATACCTAAATCTTAGTATATGTAAAGTAAATAAATAGCCACATTATATGCGCACGGGAACGGTTTTAAAGAGCTCCATATAATTATTTGATTAAAAAACCAAATATCTGTAGCATTCCATTTTCAGTAGGCTTAGAAAACGACGATTTATAAACTTTTTCGATGTCTCCTTAGTTTTTGGTTAAACTCTATTAAAATCATTCAAGCTTTTTAACTCAAACAAATATTAATTAAGTTCCAAAGTTCATAACATTTAAACTAAATACATGGAATAAAATTGAGATTTATGAAGATACTTTCTTAGGAAACCCCGGTCCATAAAGATAAAATATATATTCTAGGAGCAGCAATCAGAAGTATAATATGATGAGGACCCTGACAGGGTTTAGTCTTCACCTCAAATATAGGCCTAACGAGGCCATTATCATTCTCTACCTACCAGCTTTCTTACTGGTAACATCATATATTTTATTCGTCGTTTGTAAACAATTAAGATCTTACAGTCCTAATCAGAAAGACTCGGAATTAATTTACATCTAATCAGACGACTTTACAATCTAATTTTACAAATATGATTGAAAAACGTTAATTCAAAATAGCTCAGTCCTACCATTTCTAAATGTGGTTTGCCTTTTTTGAGCATTTAAAATTGCCAGAGATATATATGTAAACTCGTCTGATTAATTGTCAGTTAATTCCAGGTCTTTCTGATTATTACTATATGAATTAAATGAAACCACAGTTTAACCAATAAATGATATGAATTCTAGGTTGTAATATCTTATCTTTCTTTCTTCCTAACCTTGGATCTAGTTCCTTCTAAAGTCAGTCATTCTGTTGGGGTAAGTAACTTTTGTAAAGTCTGGTCAGTTTTGTGTTTTTTTTAAGCTAGCTCATTTTTGGTCCTCTCTCTGCTTAAGAATGCTTAGATTCTCTTTACAATGATTTTACAATGAAACTTTAATTGGTGGTTTTCTAAAACACGTTGTACACGTTGATGATCATCTGATTGCAAACAATCAAACTATGAAAATCGTTCAAGCTATTCAAATCAAACAAAAATTAACAAAGATGAAATCTAACACTCTAAATTTTCACTTTTTCGTTCATTTACCAAAAATAACTAGGAAAACATTTCCAAAGGGTTTCAAAGTCTGCCGACCATTTTTTTAATTCGATATATCTAATCAGAGCTGGAAACTTTTGAATGGTGAATATCGGTATTAATGCCTAATCCACTCTTTTTCTCAATCTCGAGATTAAATAATGCTTGTTCTCCTCTTGTAATTAATCTCCAGATTAATTAACCGATCGTGATTAAGGGTATTCCATTCTAAAGTTTTCAGCACAGAATAAACATTCTTTAAATGCATGCCCGATTCACAAAGGTACCTATTGTACCTTTATCTGATCATGAACAGCAGAGTAATCCATGTGTTTATCTGTAAAATGTTATATGCTAGAGCGTACACTGTGAACTCAATGCAACTGGTTCTACATGTATCTCGAGAATCTAGAACATTATTTGTCCAACGCGGTTTTAAAATTATTTGAAGGAAATATTTATTTTCTGCGACTTAAATATTATTTTATTTTTAAGACGAAACAGCTTGCAAAAATTCAGATGAATACAACTAAATTCAAGTAATCCTTGATCAATTACAGGTTTAAAGATTACCACTGTTAACCAGACAAGCCACTTTACTAATGGAATACCATTTGAATTATAAGTCCCTTAAATAATGATTGCATTTCTTTTTCTTTTATTAACATAGTTGCTGCTGACAACAGTAAACCAGTTCAACAGCTTTAATCAGAACAGTCTAAAGGGGGGCAAAGGACCTACTGCTGCAGGTTAGATCTATCTATCTAAATACGGGGTGTCCCATTGACAATTATATATTTGTCTATTTTCTAGAAATTTATTAATATATATATCTAGCTATTATATGTTAATACTTGTAATGCCAAAACCTAACAAGGCTATTTCTGACTAATTAACTATCTACTTTCTAGCAATCTATCTGTTGGCGTGCTTGATATTTTCTGGAGGCTGTTTAGCAATAAATGTTCTTATATTCAGGTTTCATTTGGTTTATAAATATTTAATATCAGACATAATTACTTGAATAATCGCTGTAATACAATATGTAAGTATAGGTCAGTATCTTTCAATTATACTTTAGATACTAAGATAGATTTGTTCATATAATGGTGACCTAATCTTACGTATTGTCATTTAAATATTAGATTTAAAGTGAAATATGGAAATTTGTTAACTGCAGGGAATTAAATGGAAGTTAGGGATAATTAATCTATGACAAATTTCGGCAAAAAATGGGGAAAAACCACAAAAAATTGTTTAATAGTTAAAATGTAATAATAAATATAATATCTAGGTATATGGGAGATACGGAGAAGGTTAAAAAGTTGAACCTATACGGAGGAATTACTGCTATCTCCTCATTTTTACTCTTCAATATTATTTATTGGCCGTTTGTTCTCTCCCAAATTTAATAAAACAATGATGTGCTAATATTAATGTAATTGTAATACTAATTTTGCTGAAACATAATAAAATCTAATGTTTAGTTTTAACTTGTATTTTATATATATTATTATTTTAATTTTTTACTTTAGAACAAATCTTTGTCTGTTTCCAGCAATTACATAAAAACCCTTGTCATTCATCTGATAAAAGCTACAGTGGACACTTAAATATATTAAGAACACTTAAATTCTTTCATGTTTGCATCTCTCAAATTTTGAAGTTTCCAGATCTATTTTATTTGATTCTTCATCCAGACATACAAGGCACGTCAGGCATATCAAGATGCAGATAACGAACCACATGAAACCATTGACACAAATCTAAATAGGATAAAAAAGATAAAGTTAATGTAATATGTATGTAATAATGTTGTTGACGTTAAGTGTCGACTTACGAAACAGATTGTCGGCTTAGGAGGCCTTGGCACCTCCCATCATCTAAATTTTCAATGCTGACAATTTAGAAACTTTCACCTTAAAAACTAAACACTTGAAGGGACTAAAAACAAAATCTCAAGTTACCCTCCATGCAATGAAGGGACCATCCGATTTATAACGATATCCTTAAAACCTTCGACTGAGATCTGTGTGTGTTTATCTCTAAATTGGTATTCAAATTGCCAGAAACGTGGAGTGTTAAATATCATACAGTGCTCATCACATCTGACGTTACATATATTCCTAGAAAATCTCAAAAACTTAATGTCCAAGACGAATTGAAAAAATTTCTGCATATACAACAGGTTTCTGAATACAAAAAAGGTTTCTGTATATAAAAAGGTTTCTGTATATAAAAAAGATTTCTCTATAAAAAAAGGTTTCTGTATATAAAAAAGGTTTCTGTATATAAAAAAAGGTTTCTGTAGATAAAAAAGGTTTCTGTATATAAAAAAGGTTTCTGTATATAAAAAAGGTTTCTGTATATAAAAAAAGGTTTTTGTATATAAAAAAGGTTTCTGTATATAAAAAAGTTTCTGTATATAAAAAAAATTTCTGCATATAAAAAAGGTTTCTATACATAAAAATGTTTCTGTATATAAAAAATGGTTCTGTATATAAAAAAGGTTTCTGTATATAAAAAGCTTTTTGTTTATAAAAAAGGTTTCTGTATATAAAAACGGTTTCTGTATATAAAAAAGGCCGTATATAATAAGCTTTTTGTGTATAAAAAAGGTTTCTGTATAAAAAAAGTTTCTGTATATAAAAAGGTTTCTGTATTTAAAAAAGGTTTCTGTACATAAAAAAGATTTCTGTATATAAAAAAGGATATTTTTTTACTTTTAAACATTGATAAAGACGACCAAGCTTTTCCAGGATTTAGTTAGATTTTACCTTATGAATAGACACTATAAGTGCTAAGGTTATCACTGGTCCAGCACATGACACTGGATTCTGAAGAGCAGCGTGGGAAACGTACAAACCAAAGATCGACCAACACAAAGGAAAAGAAAGGATTATGAAGGATGCAAGGTACAACACACCTCTAGAATTAGAATAGTAATTTAGATTATACTTAAAATAATATCATATTTCTTTTTTGCCTTTACCTAGGAAATTCATATCAATTAATAAAGAAAATAACTGTTACTTTTTTTGAAGCGCAGACTTTTTGTGAATCGTTTAAGAATAAAGAAACGTTTTTTACTGGGTTTCTCAATTTTCTCAGTGAACAAAAAAACGCATGGAAAATACTTGAAATAAAAAAATGAATTAGTTAGGGTAGTTCGGATTAAATTGTTTAAATTGAATTAATAAACAAAAACTTCTTCTAAAGGGGCATTACGCCCCCTCCCCCGGTATTTTTGGATTTTACAACGATTTTTTGCACTTTACATTACCTTGGCTTAGTTGGCATACACTTGAGGAAAGATAAACTGATAGTTTGAATAAGATGTGTTAGAGAATTTATCAGACAAAACAGAGAAACCATCTGAAATTATTTCAAGTTCAAGTTAACTACAGAGCGTCCCATATGATATTAGATTATCTCCAAGCTTTAACGCCAAAATAATACTCGAAAAACCTGACAATTTCTACAAGATATTTTTTATATAAACCATATCAAATTTTACAAAATTAATTATTCTTCTTAAAATTTTATATTATGCCCGAAGAAACGTAATTTAGACCCGATTGACGATCTAAAATGATATGGGACACCCTGTACACAATTCTTGAAACATAATGACTTGAAATATAGATATATATCGTCTTCCTAACCACATGGTATGGACTATATGAAGTGAAATTAGAGGGGTGGGGGATGGGGGACGTCTAGTGAGTGCAGTAGCTTAAAAATCAATTAATTTAGTAAACTGTGTCTGTTTACAATGCACAATTGCTATATTTCAACATTTGATGTTCATTGGGCTATTTAAAATCTGGGATCTAACAGTCGTCTTCCTTTTCTACACTTTTATTGCTTTCACTGTAGAATCAACTTCAAACATCAGTTGGAACTAAAAAAGTGCATTTAATTGGAAGATTTAAAAATCCAATCTATGTGTAAAGGTAATAAACAGGAAAGTTAAAAAGAACTATTGTATCCCTAACCTGATTGTCTGAACAATTGACTAGGTAGTAACTTCCCATCACTAGGCTGGTGACAGAGAGACCCAAGTCAAAAAGTAAGCAAATTGAACTACAAAAAATAGAATAAACTTTATGGTTCATAAAGTTTCAGAATCAGATTGTGACAATTCCAAAAGATTTTAAATATCCAAGAAATAAATTAGAATATTTCTTCAAAGGCGGCTTAAAGGCGGGAGGGGTAGGGCGCCCCCTGGAAAAATTAGAGACGCAAGAAGAAAAATAATAGGCACCTTCTAGCCCTTTAATTTTGATTTTCAAGAATAGATTTAAAGCAAAAATTTGTCTGCGGTGCCACTTAATCACTTATAATCAAGATTTTTATTAAAAATTATAACAATCCAAAGATTTCCCCCTCCTCAGCTTGTCATGGTTTTTGAGATAAAAATTACAAAATTCACTATAAAAAATTCCAGGGGAAATATCGTAAGTCTTAATTCTACAAAAACTTACCAGAATGTTAAGATTACCCATGGAATAATGGAACACATTTTGTTTTTCTATTTCAGACCTAAATAAAGTGAATTCCGTAGGTTTTTTAAAATTAGTTTCCCGCATTTCACACTTTTATCCAGAATTCACGCAACCTCTCCGGCACACAAGACAGACTACAGACACGCAACCTCTCATATAAATATAACGTTTAAAAGGACAGCTTTTTATAAAATCTTATTGAAAGAAGCATTCCCGTAGCTAGGGTCAGGGATGGGGGGGGGGGGAGCAGAGACAAATTTAAGATATGTTTAGGAGAAGCTGCATGGTACTCATCCTTCGTCCAGCAGAGAAGGTTTTGGATAAAGTCTGGTTTTCATGCTTAATATTTTCTTGAGGTTCTACAGTCATTCGCATCCTTTAGCCATCTTCCTTGGAGTAAAAATAATTTTTAGATTTTTGTGAAATTTAAAATATTCACTAATACGTTAATTTTTTCCGGCATTTAACTCAAATCTGAACATAATATTAGAGTTTTATGATATATCGCATCATTATTCTTTCGGTTAAAAAGGAATTTTTTGTTTTGATGCAAATAGCTTCTTCATCAAATTATGCAGTGCACTCCTGTAAGCCGTGTCCATTAGCGCCTGATCCAATCAGTGTGTTCAGTCATGTGTTTGTTGTCTTTACTAAACCAATAGAAATAGTATATTGGTAACATCTATCTTTCTATCTATCTCATTATCCAATCAGAGATATGAATCCTTTAATCGGCGTTAACAGTAAATGGAAATATTTACTTCTACTGAAACGATAGTGATGAGGGAACGGAAACATATTGCAAAACAGGCAAAATATCTATCTAAAATAAACTATAATGTTTAAAATAAATTCTATTTTTCTATTTTTCGACTCTGATTGGTTTATAAGAAAACAAATAAATTTATACATTTAAAATACGGGGACAAATATTAAGTTTTCATCTAACACAAGTTGTTGAAGCACCGTAGCAAAATTTAACCTTCTTGCTCAATACTTTAAGTGTTGCATGAGTGAAAAATTTCATTCAACCAATTTTGACGAAAAATGATGATTAGTAAAATTTGGCTCTGGTGCTCCAAGAAATCTTACTATACAAAAATTTGACATTTTCTCCAGTGTAAACTATATATTGTGAGACATGGTGTACTAATATACTCTGCGGAAAGTGTGTGTACTGAAGTGTGAACTCAATGTACTAATTTCCCTGCATGACTCATGGCTTGGGTTAGATTACACCAGGTTAAAGACTCAGTTAATCAGAATAAGGTGAACTAGGCCTTGTCAGGACAGTTTACATGATGTATCCTTTACCAGGCAGATTTATAACAAGTCATACAGACATTAAACTGTTTACAGAGGGGATTACAAGCCAATACTGATGGAGGGGCGTAATGGTTGAAAAAGGGGAAGGGGAGAAGATAGGACAGTTTGAAAAGAAAAAGAAATGGTAAGGGCCTGCGGAATGCTGGGGTAAGTGGACCAGGTACTCCAGAGGTGACATAAAGGCTATTAGATAAAACAAATTTTTTAATTCCATAGGCAACCCCGGGCAATATAGCTGAAATCATAATTTTGATAAAAACCTGGGCAACCCCGGGCAATTTAACTGAAATCATTATTATGATACCAACCTGGGCAACACAGGGCAATTTGGCTGAAATCATAATTTGATACAAACCTGGGCAACCCCGGGCAATTTAGCTGATATCATAATTATGATACCAACTTGGGCAACCCCGGGCAATTTAGCTGAAGTCATAATTTTGATACCAACTTGGGCAACCCCGGGCAATTTGGCTGACATCATAATTTTGATACAAACCTGGGCAACACAGGGCAATTTAGCTGATATCATAATTCTGATACCAACCCGGGCAACACCGGACACTCCAGCTAGTTTAATAAATAGTTCAAATGTTGTATTGTTTGCCCGCGATTTCAAAGCTGCTTATTAGTTTTGTGTATTATGTAATAAATCATTCAGAATGGCTTTTTATAGAAATTATATATGTAGACCTAGATTTTCAGCTCAAGCAGTGCAGAAATCCCACAAAATTTGCACACAATCGATCCCCCCTCTTGCCATTTCCGGCAAATATATTTTGCACAAGACAGATTTTCAAAATATTCCACAATCAATAATATTTAACAATTGATTTTAAAGGAACTATTTTCAAAAATGTCCGACATTTGTCTGCAAGTAGTGATATAGCATATTCGTTTGAACCTAGGCGATTTCATTACATTGTTTTTTAGGTAAATCAGTGCTAATAAAATTTCAAACTGAACACTCTCTTTACGTATGTGTATTGTTTTGATTTGTTTGTCAACTTTGCGCTCATCTATTTATATTTCTAGTAATTTACAAATATGCTCGATTTTAGAGTGGCAAAAATAATTATGCTGATGATGACTTTATAATTGTTATAAACCCCAGTTTTAGTATGGGACTTGTAGTAGTGTTAATACATAGATTATATTCAGATACTGATTGAGCAAGGGGTAACCAGCTTAATTAGATGTTAGACCACTAGCAACTTAGGTTACTTCCGGGCTATGGGGGAAGGATTGAGGGAGAGGCGGGGGGGGGGTAGGCAGAAAGAGGGAGAGGGTTCAGGATGAAAAGGGAGTGAGGACTGGGAGTACTCGTAATTAGAGTATCCAGCTAGATGCAAAGAGGGTTAGCCCAGAACACAGAATGGAAAAGAGAAGTTGTAATAAATAATAATTTTAAAGCCTTATTCTAGAGCGTTCTCCATATTTATAAAATCACTATCTTATATTTTTTTTCTTTTTAGATCTGAAAACAAATCCACGAAATTTAATATTTACCACTGTTAAAGGACACAATTATCTAACAATTTAAAAAATAGTATACAGAAGGTAACCAGATAATAGTATACAGAAGGTAACCAGATAATAGTATACAGAGGTAACCAGATAATAGTATACAGAGGTAACCAGATAATAGTATACAGAGGTAACCAGATAATAGTATACAGAGATAGCCAACAACAGTGAACAAAAATAACCAGAAAATGAAGAAAAAGAAAATCGGAAAAAGATTTATTATTTAAAAATTACTCAAATCTAAACCAAAAAGATAACGAACAATCAGTTGTATTTATTTATATTTAAAGTTTCCTACTTTATAATTTTGCATTCCTTCATTTTAGACTAACTCATGGAGTTTAGAATCGATTTTGACCATAGTTTCGAAAACTTAATTTAAAATGTTAAAAATGTCAAATCATTGATTCATTAAAGTGCCTTTGTATTGACGCTGTGTTCAATTCCTGTGTTTTTATAGGTTTCCAACCCCCTGTTTACGGTTAAATAGAAAGTTAACGCGCTGAAACTATTCTAAAGCTTTCTGTTACAGGGTGTCCCGCTAAACATGAAACTCTTCTAGAGCTTTCTGTTACAGAATGTCCCAATAAACATGAAACTATTCTAAAGCTTTCTGTCACAGGGTGTCCCAATAAACATGAAACCATTCTAGAGCTTTCTGTTACAGAGTGTCCCGCTAAACATGGCAGAGGAGGACAACTTAACGATTGTTTTATGATCTTTGATTACAAATTAATGAAGAAGGTGTCAACGTTTTACCTAGGACTTCAGAAAGATGAAAATTTTCCTTTATACTAATCGAAGGCCTACAGTATGGGTTTGGTGAATTATATTAACTTACTAGGCTATGTGTCTTCAAAGATGATATTTTGTTATCTATTTATACACTTTTCTTAAGCTTTTCAATACAGTTTATTTTCTGAAAACCTTTCCCTTGTTTCATATTTTGTTTTTACACAACTATTACAGATCAGAGACTTTCTTATTTTAGTATTTTAGTATTGTACACCCTGTAATTGCATAATTTCAGTGAATTTCAGTGAATTCTATCATTTTAGGATCATTTCGGATCTACAAATAAAACTTTTTTTTATTTCATCATCTATTTTGCGTGTATTGATCCCTGCATCCTTCCATACTACAGTGATAACCAGAAAACATTGGGATAGGGACACGACTTTATAGCATTACTTAAGTGCATATTTAATGTTGTTACAAAGCAAATAGCTTTACTAGTCACTTATTACATCTCTAATTTAGTGAAATGTTGGTTTAAACTGCATGATTGCTGTGTCTTACACTCATCGGACAATTTAAAAGTTATAAATTGATTCTAAAATTCCAGAATTTTCTGGTTATCACTGTATCTACACTTTTTATCCTTAATTCTATGTATGTAAACATCAATTCTTCTATTTATCCTTCTATTTATCTTTCTATTTATCTTTCTATTTATCTTTCCATTTATTTTTCTATGTATCTAACTATTTATACTTCTATATATCTTTCCATTTATTTTTCTATGTATCTAACTATTTATCCTTCTATGTATCTAACTATGTATTCTTCTATGTATCTAACTATTTATCCTTATATATATATATATATATATATCCTTCAGTTTATATAATTATCCATTATTCTATAGACCCGTCTATGTATCTAACTACTTATCCTCCTTAAATTTATCTATTTATTTATTTTCCGTCTGTTTATCTATTTATCCTTCTATAGTTTCCATCTATTAATCCTTAACATGGATTATAAATTAAACGATGGTTAAATTCAAAACCATTACGCTAGATTAGCTTTCATTTAAATTCTTGGAATTCACTGAGTTTGTGATCATTCATCTGGGGGTAATAGAGAAAATCAGGCTAGGAGTTCAATATATAATCATTCAACTGGAGGTAATAGAGAAAATCAGACTAGGAGTTCAATATATAATCATTCAACTGGAGGTAATTAGAAAATCAGGCTAGAAGTTCAATATATAAGCATTCAACTGGAGGTAATAAGAAAATCAGGCTAAAAGTTAAATATATAATCATTTTACTAGAGGTAATTAGAAAATCAGGCTAAAAGTTCAATATATAATTATTCAAATGGAGGTAATGAGAAAATCAGGCTAGGAGTTCAATATATAATCATTGAACTGGAGGTAATGAGAAAATCAGGCTAAAAGATCAATATATAATCATTCAAATGGAGGTAATAGAAAAATCAGAGAATTAA